AAGTAAATGCTAGATTGGGTTCAGCAAACTGCTTTGTGCATGCTCAGAGACTCATTCTGGGTGATTGTGCTTCTGGAAAATATTTTTGCAAAGAAAGGTCTGTGGCTTGAATGTATGAATGGAGGAAACCTAGTTCACAACACTGGTGAATAATGCTACACAGGGGGAACAGGTTTCCCTCAATGCTTTTTTGAAAGAGGGTATGTGCAGCTTTTCTTGAAAAGGTTGCAGTGAGAGTCCAAAGATTTGGCCCAGTAGACTTGGGGCAGTTGTTGCTGTTCAACTCTAGCTATTCATGGATGAAACTGATTGTCATATCTCTTTTGATCAAACCCAGTTTTGGAGCTGGAACTGCTTTAGATGATCGATGCCAGAAGGAATTCTCCTAGGACCTAAAGCTCTCAGCATGTTTTGATACCACTGAGCATAGTGATTTGCTCAACCATTGATTAAGGGTGAGGCCTGGAATCACTGTATTCTGGTGATCCAACCTGATTGTTTTGGTTCCAGAAAATTGTTCTTTCCCATGGTATGAACACCCTACAAAATTCTATCTTGTTTCCTAAACTGGCCAATTATTTTGTATGTATTATTTACTTAGAGTTTCTTTTTTAGGCTAACTTATAAAACAAAGGTCTCTCAAGGCTGCTTACAGAGATAACAGAAGAAGCACAAAGTATACAAAATGATACAATTAAAATAAGTTACGAGTTTAAAAACTTACCACAAAAGGCAAGAGGAACCACTGAACCATAATTTCTTTGACATACCCTTTAAAATGCTCTTCAAGCCGCAGTATTTTAACCATGACAAATTCAAGCCAACCATCTAAAACCAATGTTCTAAAAATAATAACCCAAGAACAATAATCTGAAAGCCAGATGCATTCTGGTGGGGAAAACAAGCTCAGTTAAAAGCAAAGATGGAACAAATGGGCCTTCAAAGCCTAGGTCATCCTTGACCACACAGCACTTCCCCTTGGAAGAACCAAACCAGTGACTGCTGCCCCGACTCTTGTGTCCACCAGTCTAATGGATCCCAGTAGTGAGCCAACAAAAAGTGATGCCAGTCTTAGAGCACAGACAGGCTCGTACAGTTGTAGAGGGGCCTTCAAAGAGCTTCAAGAGGTTATCTAGGGATTTGAAATGAAGAAGCAATCATGTGCAGAAGACACCAGGCAACCCAATTTGGACTTTGCACACATTTCTCAAGATGGCAATAAACTTCAGATTAACTGAAGTTTATAACAGATCAGGTAAGATTGGGCTATTCTTGGTGAATGGTAAAGCTGACCACAAAATGGCAGCTCATTGTGTTCTGGATGCTGTTGTGCTTTCTGTAAAGGATAATAGATGTAGGCTGTAAAATCCAGGATAACAGATAGATACTCAAGTGGCCTCAGTAGTACAAAGTGTCTTTAAGCTGCTTTGGCTATAGGAGTCATTCTTCTTGGAAAATGTGACCAGATGCAGTTACCTTGCTTTGCTAACATCTAGATTAGACTACATGGGGCTGCCTTTGAAGATTCTTTGCAAACTTCACTTGGTTCAGAAAAAGCCTCCCAACTTATTAACCAGTGTTTTCAGAAATGAACCTATCTCAACAGCAGTACTTAAAAATTAGTACTGCCTGTTTGTTCTAGGGGCATTGCAAATTGCTAGCACTAACTTTTAAACCGTAGATAGGTTAGGACCAGACTAGTTGAGAAAATGAGTACTCTCATATCAGTCTGCTCAGTTATCACTGGAAACCTAGTTTAGGGTACATCAGTCCTCCTGAGGCAAAGAACATGGCTCCAAAATTGTATGTGGTGGTGACTTGGCAACTCTAGAACTCCTTTCCATCATTGGTTAAAGAGACCAGCTGAAAATGATTCTGTTTGCCTGGACTTTTGAATTGTCTTTTCGTGTTTTCCATTTACAGTGTTTTGAAATAGATTTTTGTGATTCTGTTGCTACTGAAAAAAGTCCTTTTGCTTGGTTTGTTTTATCATGAGTGTTTCCAATAGTTTTGCAAGGTTTTGAAGTGTGACATTTCTCGCTGTTCATTTGTTGTTTGCTGCTTTGGACACAATTTGGTGGGAAACTGGCATATAAATAAATGGGATAAAACTAATTTGGACATTTTGCTTTGAGAAGTGGAGTAAAAATACATTAAGTTTCCTGAACAAGGTTATTGGCAGGATAAATTTTACAAAAACTGAGATGGAGCTAGATTTCCTTTCAGGAATTTCATACAATTTCAGGAACTGTTCATACAAGACATAGGGTAGAATGAACTCTCTAAAACATATGCTCATAAGAAAAAGGTTATTAATTCACTTTTGTAAAGAAGCCAACCAAACTTACTTAAGGTGCATAGCTGGAGAAACATGCTGGGAGTTGTAGGCCTTTTTTCTGTCTTTTTTGGGGGGTTACCTGCTAAATGGATAGTAACTTAGATTTCCACTGTGGTCATGTAAATGTAGGAAACCCACAACTATCTCCCCACCCGTACTTATGGAAGAAGAGACTTTCTGCCCTCTGAAGCTAACCAAAAATAAAGCAGACTGGTGGAGGATGAAGCACTCTGTCCATTCTCTGGTAGCCTTCTCACTTACCTGCGTCAAATTCCATGCCCTCATCTACATGAAATTCCAGGTCATTTATGCTACTAGGCATATTTGCATCACAAGACTGTTGATCTTTAATATTCAGGACTTTATAGATCGTCAATATTTTTATGTTAACATACACCTGGAATGGAAAGGAAATCTAGTGTTAAAATACTGATCTATTCCAGGTTCTTACAGATATGGTTGTAGATAAGTCTCCATGATTTAACAGTGATCTGAAAATAAGGTGTGTGGACCAAACCTCCATGTGATGAAGTGCCACATGTATAGAAACTGTAGAAGAAGTTCCCATTCTTTGCTGTGATGGGAACTTCCATTTCCTCATTGTCTTTGTATTTTGAGCAGGTGCTGCCCCTTTATATGGGGCAACACCCGCTGCTGTACTTCGTCCCATGTTAGGAGCCTCTCTGTGGATAATCAGTTACTGCAATGGAATAAACATACAGAGGAGCCATATCCTTAATTTTATCGGCTTTGTTTTCAGTTTGGATTTGGTTGTGATAGCTATGATGGGAAGCTTTTACTTCAGTGAGCACAACTGCTCGGCCATAGGAAAATATTGTCCAAAGTATCAGTGGACATGCAAAGGGAAAAGAAATACAAGGAAATGTTGAGATTTTAAATCATCAAGGCTTACACTTAATAATCAAAACTTCACGCACTCTTATGAAAGGCTTGCTTCCTGCCACTGGCACCAATGGCAGCATTTGTGGCATTGTATGTTGGTGGATTTTAATTAAACTGCACATGAAAAGATTGCATACAGCTCACCAGTGTGTGGCAGGCATGATTAACACTTGATACACCTAGACAGGGTGGCAGACTCAGTAATTAATAGAGGCTCCCGTCTGTTCACCAGGGGTCCAAATTCAGACTTTAGTGCTCCCTATAGAGCACCGACTTGGTGACATGGGAGATAAGAAGCCAAATTAATGAAGCTAATTGTCTGGTTATTTGTCATGGCAGATGGGAAAAGGATATTACCTTGGGATACTTGTTGTGTTGTTATTGCAAGAAATACTAATTTGATGAGAGTGGAGTTTTCTTTAAGGGGTTGCTGTCATGAGTTAATGAAAGATGCAAATAAGTAATACCTTTTCTAAAGAAAACACAACCAATTTGTGTATGGAAATACTTTAGCTAAATAACTAGCTCAGTGAAAGAGATTGCAAGTTAATCAACTGAATCTAGTAAAATGCAAGCTATTTCTTTAGCTGTTTTCACTAAAAGCAAAGATAAGTGCATGGCAAAATAAAATCCATATAGCCATAATATCTGCATTAGGTTGATTCAAACATTTGCAAAAGACTGTGTAAGCTTCCAAGGTCTCCAAAGGTCCTCATCACACAAGATAATAAACAAAACAAAAGGGGGAACAGAGTTATGGAAACCATGGAGTCTGTGTTTCATGACAACCTTAAGATAGAAGTATCCCTGTAAGATAGAAGTATCCCTGTAAGGAGATTACAGACATTTAAATTATGCTGTACAAAGTACTGAGATGATTTCAGATTACACCTGGGATCCTTCCAACATTCTCTCTGCTAATGCTTGTAAAATCATGCAAGTGCTCCAATGTGTCTAGTTTTGGAATATATTCTCTGATTTGTTGGAGTTATTGGTTTTGATGGCATTTACTCATGTTATTGAATTTATACCCCCATTGTGTGTGCCATTCAGACTTGTACTGCCGCAAGAGAAGCCCTTGGTTCTGTTGGATGCTGATAGGGTTACATTTAGCATTGTTATTTTCCTGTCCTTTTGTATTCTTCATTCACCTTGCACTTGAACCTTGCATTTTGGTATAGTAATTCACTTCTGGGTAAATTCACCAGAGCAGCATTTCAGTGTAATGCCACATCGCTGAACTGGAACAAAGACCAATCAATGTTTTGTCTTGCACAGTGGACAGCAAGATAAGCCTATTAAAAGAAATTCAAAGAATCTAATCGCTTTGGATGTCTAAGGATTTCTGCCACTTCAACAGTATCAGTGTGTGTATTTGTCTGCAGATGGATGATAAAAGTTGTGTACAGTGGCATTAACTCCACATAACTCTTGAGACTTTTTTCCTATATGAAATGAATGAATGGTAGTCAGCGGGTCTTCTTATCAATTGTCTTCTTATCCTTATTCTGAGCTTTATAGGAGCGATCCAAGGTGCTGTACTCCATCCACAAAATAGGTTCACCATCATGGATCATTCTTACAAAGCTCAGATTAAAAGCTGCAATGGATAAGGAACCCCACTGACATAGGCACCACCCTCCACTTGGAACGCAACCACAGAAGAGTTTTGGAAGCAGACTAATAGAGTTGACTGAAAACTAATATTGAGAGTTGAAAGCTTTTTAAATTATTGTTTTTATATATGATTATGTTTCAGTTCAGCCTATGATACCAAAACCAGACAGAAGGTGGCAGTGAAAAAGCTTTCAAGACCTTTCCAATCCCTTATTCATGCCAGAAGGACGTACCGGGAACTTAGATTACTCAAACATATGAAGCATGAGAATGTGAGTGAAGAGATTGTGCTATGTACAACTTTAATGTAAAGCTTACAATTCATCTTTCTTTTTGTTTTATTATTCAACAGAATAATAAAATTTTGTTTATTTATTCAACAGAAAAGCACAAGTACATGCCAGAACGACTTGTTCTTTGCCATGTACTTCAAAAGTCAGGACCATTGTATTTCTTACGCTCTTACATTCAGATTCCATTATTTAGCCTTACACTCAAGGAAAGATCATATACAGTGGTACCTTGGCTCATGAACTTAATCCATTCCAGGACTCTGGTCGTGACCCAAATTGGTCATGAGCCAAGTTAAATTTCCCCATAAGGTTCAATGTAAATAAGGTTAATCCGCTCTGTAACTATTTTTTTTTTAAATCAGAAAATGTGAAGCAAAGTGACAAAGAACAACAAAGATCACAGCCATCTGCCCTTCCACCATGGCCCTTCACAACCATCTCCCTGCCCGCCTCCAGCACCACCGTGATCACGCCTGTCATCCCTGCACACGCCCGTCATCCCAGCATGCTGGGGGGGCGTGGAGAGACAGGCACGATCGCAGGCGCTGGGTGGGGAGACGGGCGCAAACACAACCCTGGGGGCGGGGGGAGACAGGCACAAACCTGGGCATGCTTGGTGGGTGGGAGACGGGCGCGATTGTGCTGGGGGGAGTCGGAAATGGCCGAGATCGTGGTTGTGCTCATGCAGGAAAGGTGGGCGCAATCACGGGTGCACTCGTGCAGGAAAAACGGCATGGACTCATCCATCTCACCCCCTCCCCGCCACCCCCAGCACGAGATGGCTGTGATTGCGGTCACCACCCAGTGCGAAATTTGCTACCTGGGTCAAAATTTTTATGAAATTTTTGTTCGGGACCCAATCTGGTCGTGGACTGAGGCGTTCGTGAGCCAAGGTACCACTGTATACTGTTGTGATATAGCCAAGCACTGAGAAGTGTTAAGCAAGTTCAGTCAAGTAGTCTTCTTTCCATGGTCACAGTTAAAGGACTGGAGCACTGAATAATATGGGCATTGCTCCTCCCCCTCACATCTTCCCTTCCCCTTCACCAGTGTCGCCTTGACCAGCTAAGGATCACAGCCTTGATGACACATTTAGAAGACGTCACTACAAAACAAAAATAATAGTAATGTGGTGGAGGATATAAAATTGTATTGGTTGAGCCCAAAACTCTTGCTGCAGAGAGCAAAAAATAAAATAAAATGCACATTATTTGACTGTAACATGATGAACTACTAAACACTAATGTCCTAGAATGGGAAATTAGGTTTCCTATGTCTTACCATCAAATAACCTAAAGTCCATTTTAGAGCACACTGAAAAATTATTTTTATTTCAGTGAATATTCTCTTAGCTAAAAGATTAGCTTGCAATCAATGCACAGTCCCTCCTGCCTTAGCATCTTCTTATAATTACTCTTTTTCAGCAAACTGTGGTTTGCAATTATATCAGAATTAGAAGAATTATAAGTTTCCTGCACACTGGAATTAGAAGAGACAATGGAACATAATTTGAGCAGTGAGCCTGCTGTAGAAGTGGGCTCAGTTTGAATTTTTAGATGCAAAACCGTTTCTCCCAGACTCAGCCCTTGGGAATCCATTTCTCTGTCTTTATAGAAGAACTAGGATACAATGTTGTTTGGCTAGAAGCAAATGACATCCCAAACATACTTCCGCCCTCTCTAAAGCATGGGGGGGTTGCCTTTGGATTTCTTTTTTAAGAGGGGGTAGAATTTATAATTTGATTCTGTGTTGTTTTAAGGAAAATTCACCTAAGTGAATAAATATGCTTGCAGCATTTTTAAAACATAAAGGCAAAGAGCCTGTATGAAGGATAAACAAGAGGGCAGTGGAGACTACAGAATCACCAGTGTTCAGACAGGAATGCCTGTGAAATGTTTTGTCAAGAAGGGAGGGAAAACGGGATGTAGGAAGAAGCAACTCCTAATTTGCATGTAAGTTTGTTTGCACCTTTAGTTAGGCCCAGAGTAAGACACAACTGATTTCATTGGGCTTAAGTATACCTGATCTTGTATTGGACTGCTCTGCTCTTTGCTCTAAGAGGTTGTAGGTACAGATAGCAAAAACGCTGCATGAGCTCATTCCTTTCTCTACCTAAAGTGGAAATTCCTCTTTTCTGTTTCAGGTTATAGGATTACTAGATGTTTTTACGCCTGCAACATCCATAGAAAATTTTAATGAAGTGTAAGTAAAGTCCAACATAAAATTTGTCAGTTGGTGAGGAGCTGAGAGAAATTCTGTAGATCCATTCCAAGCACAGTAAAGTGCTTTTAAGTCCTATTGATTTCAATGGAACAGTTAAGCATGTACTTTGCCTTCTTCTGCTGGAATCGATGAGACCTAAAAAAATTAATTCTGGCTAGGTCGTACCCTGTGTTCATAATTGAGACAAATAATATGGTGTCCTAGAATCAAAGCAGAGGGAAAGGGCTTAGGACAGACACTGGTGTAATACTTTTTTCTCATTTTAATTGAATCAATACGGTGCAAGACAAACTACTGTCTTCTGTTATCCCTTTTTTAATTTGTCTTTTTGATTCAACCTTACAAAGAGTGATAAACTACAAGGCATTTTAAAAGTATTAAGATGTCATAGGAAACTAACTGGAGGGAAGATTACATTTATATGAATATAAATACACTCCTAAAAATATGAGCTTTCTGCTGGTTTGGGCCTCAGGACAACCTCTTCTGTTTTATCACTGGACACATTTTACCCAAGGAGTGAACTACGCCTTAGGTTGTAGGAGTCATTCCCTTCATCTGACACATTTAAGCTCAGTCTGGAGAAGGTAATTACATTTTTAAATGGCCAGTAAAAACCAGCACTGTGGTGCTTTGAATAAATACGATATTGATCAGAAGTCACTTTCCTGTGTAAGGGAAAGTGGTGCTTAAACGTTGCCTCCCTGGATAACCTTATATTCCCTTTTTGAACCTCTATTTACCTATGTCAGGAGTGACAAATCTACCATCATCACTGACCATTGGCCAATTTATCGAGGGCTGAGGAGACTTGGAATTCCAACAATGTCTGTAGTATCAAAGGTCACCCACCCCAGTGATGTGTGTTAATGTCATCATGTTTTTGCTGTACTATCCCTTTACCTTGGTTTTTAGTCCTTTATCTTCAATGTACTGCACAAATTTCCATCAGATTTTGAGAGTTAGACCCACAGGTTGCCTTTCTACAATGGAATGATCTCGCCCTGCAATTATAGAAACAAGTCAAGTGCAATCCCCTCTAGCCACTGTTTGTGTCAATTGACACCTTGAGTTCAACCATTCCTCAGTCCATGGACCATATAAATGTTTGTGAGTCCCAATCCTATAAGTGTCTGCAGGTTCAGTGCTAATGCCCACTGATTCTGGACAAGATATCTCATGTGCCAGCAATTCACAAAGAACATAACTAAATGATGGATTGAGAATAAATGTATAAAGAATTAAACTGTAATCCTGTGCACAACTTACTCAGAGCAAGTCCCACTGAACTTAGTGGGGCTTACTTCTGAGTAAGAATCAGATATATATGATTCTGTTCTACCATAAAAGTGTTCTGTAAGCCACAGATAAAGGTTTTGTGTATTTACAGGTATCTTGTTACAAATTTAATGGGTGCTGATCTGAATAACATTGTGAAGTGCCAGAAGTTGACAGATGACCATATACAGTTTCTTATATATCAGTTACTTCGAGGACTTAAGGTAAAACATATGAAGGTTTTTGTTGATTCATTTTTTTGTTTGAAGGAGGAAGTAGAGGCAACTTTCTTTCTTTCTCAATCAGATTTTTATTTGCTGAGCTATCACTCAGAAATTTAGTTTATCAATCACATTAATGTTTGCTGATTAATCAAGCAATTAATGAATTAAATCTGCACAGATTTTCAGATTTTACAAACACCTCTGAATGGAAAGGCATGTAGTTCAAACAACATGATCATCCACAATCATTGGTTGTGTATTGGTTGAGTATGCGTTGTCATTGAATGATCAGTTGCTGTTGAAATGTAGGTTATTGTTGTCTGAATCTATTCATGTTAACAAATCATAGTTTGGTAGCCAAAAATAACCCATAGTTCACAACCCATTGGCAAACTATGGGCTCTCTCAGGGATTGTTCATGGTTAATAAATTGTAGTTTGTTAGCATGGCTGGGTTCAGGCAACATGAAAGCCTATGCTTCAACAACTGCCCATGATTCCTTGAAAACCTACATTCAATCCATACTCAACCCTTGAGTCTTACTTATCATGTTGGCTGAAACTAATTGAAGGAGCGCTTACATCCATATATGCCCGACCGCCCCTTGAGATCTGCGGGAGAGGCCCTTCTCCGGGAACCCTCTGTGAAAGAAATTAGGAGGGTAGGTACTCGGAGGAGGGCTTTCTCTGCAGTGGCGCCCAATCTATGGAATATGCTCCCCAGAGAGGTCTGCCTGGCACCGTCGTTATTTGTTTTTCGGCGCCAGGTGAAGACCTTTTTATTTAAACGTCATTTTAATTGTTAACAATATTTACTTATTTATCTGGCCAGGGCGACTTCTTTTCTTTTTCTTTTCCTTTATAACTTTTCTTTTATATCGTTTATATTTTTTATTTATTTTATATTATTAACTTTAATTTTATATTGTTATTTTTGTATTGTATTGTATTTTATTGTGTTGTAAGCTGCCCCGAGGCTTCAGCAAGGGGCGGCATAGAAATGTTCTAATAATAATAATAATAATTGGAAAATAAGCCACCATGAATTGTTTGCTCATTCATTAGCCCTCTAGTTTCTGTAGCTTGTTTCCCCACTTGCCTCTGTCCTACTCAGTCTTCCTGCAGCTCTGAGCATGTATCTCAGACTCCTCATTTCCTTACTCCTTACATTAGCATCCCTTCTGCAATCTGTCCCCCGGTAGTGCCAAGTACTGAGAGAATCTCTCTCCATGCCAACCAGATCATTAAATGGAATTAATTTTCTGAGCTTTTATAGGCATGCCAATGTGTTTGCAAACTCTTTTTTCCTGGGGTCTTGGGCAAGTACACAAAGACACCAAACTGCCTGCTATTTAACCTAGAATACCAATACCCCCTCCTGCCAGTGTCTGCAAATTCCATCCTCCACTTAACTTGCTAGCAAACATCTTAAAAAAACAAACAAACAAACCCAAAGGCAGCTTCCTTCATACAAAAATGATTGCACCTGTCTGAAAAGTACTTTCTCCTGCAGTCACCAACCATTTTCAGCTCTCTCTTCTCCTGCTCTTCATGCTTGTCCCTTCTTTCACTGATCTCCATTGTTAGCTGTCAGATATACCTATGTGGGGGCAGAGGTGGAACTGGTGAACATCCATAAATTTCAAAACAGAGCAGGGAGTGAGGGGAATTGGTAAAGACACCAAATTTCAAGGTGGACAGATTGAGAGGATTGGTAAATATGGGAGAACAGTAAAGTGGAGAACATTACACAAATTCATTGTCATGGACTTTCAAGGGTTCTCACTTGTGCAAGACAGTTTTGTTAAATGAAAGGTTGCAAAAATGCTAAAGTATAGGCAGTGATAATAATGTTCTTAATCATTCATTAAAATTGTTGTTGGTGATCACTTAGATATTTTGGCATTGATAAGCTAATCAACACCCCAGGAAATCTGTGTTATCACCAACAGTTGTGAACTGGCACTGCTGGTAACCTAATTATCACCATCTGTACTTCCTGCATTTTCATTTCCCACCAGTCTCATTGTTTGCAGTTATACCTGTAATGCCAGTAACATTTCATGTGTTCAATGAAGTGAACTGCAAACCAGAAAAGATTTTGCCATAATAAATACATTAGTCTTTCAGGTGGCACAAATCCTAGAATTGTTTTTGCTTCAGAAGATTTACATAGTCCCTCTGCTAAAAGCTCTAATTGTTTAATGGATATAAACACTGCACAAGGCTCTGTTTTCTGCACATGCATCAAGAGTGTGTAATCAATATATAAATGCAATCGATATATAAATGTAATCGATATATAAATGCAACATGGATGTGCCTCAGTAAATGCAGTAATAAGACCACACATGACTTCCCAGGCCCCGCTCTTCTCCCACTCTCTGATGGTTTGGTGTTTTCCAAACTTTTATGCACATTCTGACAAGTTGAAATACCTCTCCTAATATTTAGTCACTGGATGTAAGGACTTACGCTAAAATATACCAGAATGTTTGCCCCAGTCTGCTTTGCCTTCAGCCCTTCCCACAGGTGGAATGTGGCCTCCAAGAGCTTTTCCCAAATGGAGTTTGGCTCATGGGCTGAAAGAGGTTCATCACCCCTGTTTTAAAATGTGTGCAATGCTGGACATGATTAGTGTTTCCACTGTGACACTGTCAGAGAAGTAACGCATATTGTCAAGATTTGCTATATGAAGTACCAGGTACCATTGGGCTCCAGAAGCATCTGGTATGGGGGTACAGAAGAGGAGCACATTTTAAGAATACACACATCCCCTTGACAAGCCCCAGACTCACAGCCCAGAAAAATCCATTGCATTTCCAACTCGGTACCTTACCACCACCACCAGCAGCTTTTTAAATATTTTTAGGGGCAAAATATACTTCATCACATTGCTGGCAGATGCTGCTGACCCTGTGGAGACCCCCCCTTTATTTTTTATTTTTTGGAAATACAGATTTTAATGGTAACTCTCCATATGGCACGATTTAAAAGGTGTAGCTGCAGATAGAATGCTTGGTGACTGAATAAGAAATGAACTACTTTGATGACTGAGGCATGGCTCAGTAATTTTGGAAAGAAATTGAAAATATGACCTTTGGTGGCTGGATTTTACTTTTGACTGAAAGTACCTTTTACTTTTCATTTTCGACTGAAAGTGTGAATCAGAACCCAGTGAACTAGTAGTCCTGGTCTTGGTCACTTAATTGAGATTCTCATAGCAAGGATTGTGGGATCAAATATTGAATGGCCTTTGCTTCAGTTTTCTTACCTGTATAATGAAGCCAATAATGCATCTCCCAGCAGGCTTGTCTCAGGTTTAATGACACAGTTTAGAAATACTGTGAATGCTGGCAGGAGAGGCTGGCAATGTCTTGTTCAGTGGAGCTCCTCATCCATTGCAGCTTTTATTTTGAGCTTTATAGGATCTACCCATGATGCCGAATATCCACAAAATAGGTTCACCACAGCAAAGCACCAGCATCAACATTTTCTGATGAGTTTAGTATTTTTGAAAGTCCTACTGTTTGGTTAGGAAGTCCTTCTTTATGCATTTCCCTTGAATCTCAGATGGATGGTATTTGGTTGTGGTTATTAACTGGAGAGGGAGCAGAACTAGATGCATTCAAGAATATTAATCTATTCTACTTCATATGTCCCAGCACTGTGGTTGGGCATTGAAAATCAGTTCTGAGATTTAGCTTGATAGTGCATGAATGAAATGAACTATAATTGAAGTTCTGTCCCTGTGGGGCCCAATGAATTGTCCGAGAACCCAAGATACATTAGTTTTGCTGAACCTAAGCAGCTACATATTGAAAGCCATGTGTGTGTACGTGTCTGGTATGTCTCTGTGCATATATGTTGAGCATTTGTGTGTGCATGTGTGCACCAGGTACACTATATCTGTCCCTGTGCACATGTGCATTTAATTTCTAATTGCTTATTATATTGAACACATGAACACATGTATCAGTTGGATACAGACTTAGACTTAATCATAGTTAGAGGAAACCCACTGAACTCCATGGGACCCATGAGTCATGATTCTCACCAACTTAACTCTCACTGATTCCAATGCATCTGTTCTTATTGCTGGGTTATCCTAGCCAACAAGACAGAAAAAATGCAGAAAGATATACATGAGACCTGAAAAATTCTGTCCTGATGCATCTTGATCAAAGAAGAAGGAAAGGTGTATTTTTTTTTCTCCCATCCAGAATACAGTATCCTTTCTGCATCGGAGCTGAGATGAGGAAATGGGGAACCCCAACCTCTTAAGCATTGTGAAGTACACCGGACACTTCCTTTTTCTACTTTACCTTCTCTAGGGCTTTCTAGTTGAAATGTGAAACTGAATTCCCAGGGTCTATATTGCAAGAGAGTAGCAGTGTTTTGTATGAGAGTCCTATATGTGTATGAGTGTGTGTGTGTGTGAGTACAAAGTTTGGTTATGGTTACTTTATGATTCTGTTACTTCACTCTGTGCTTCCTTCAAAGGTTAACCTAAATATTTGTTCTGTATAAAAAACATCAGTCAGGTGATGACTGCTAACTGCTGTCTTTTCCCATGTGTATTTGGCTTCAGTTTCTGACCTTACCTGTTTTCATTTTGTTTTCCAGTATATTCATTCAGCTGGCATCATTCACCGGGTAAGCTGCATGAATGATGTGATGCACTGTACACAACTTCAGACAGGCTTGCTGTACTGAAACTGTTACAAGACTCCTTTCACCTTATCAATTTCAGCCCTGTTTTAACACTCCTAACTATTCATTCTGATGCAGGACCTGAAGCCCAGTAACCTAGCTGTAAATGAAGACTGTGAATTAAGGGTAGGATTCATGCTATTTTGATTATTTCAGTGAAATGTTGACTTAGTTCTTTTCAAAGCAAACCTAAAATAGAGGCATGTCCGTTTTTATGCTTAGCCTGCTTTAGATGTTGCCATGGTGACACTGGGCAAGGAAATAAAAATTTTGGAAGAACCATAGTTAGTTACTCTTTCAGACATTACAACTTGCTTGATCTGTGTACATCTATTTTTTCTAAAGCTCTCTCTGAACTGCTGTGAAAGTTTGAATCTTTCTTCAAGGCAGTAATCCTTTTGCTCCCCAGAGTAACTGCTCACATGAATGCATGTTTCGTTTTCACACCCTGGATGTCAGGATGAAAGAGTAGATATAGGCCAGTAAATCTATTGAAACATGGGCTCTTATGTCAAACTAATTGCAAAAGAAATTGAACCTTTTATGCTGCTTTATAAGTATTGACGGTTTCAGGCTTCATCTCAGTGGGAAATCAAAACGCCCAAGAAGCAACCAAAGGTGTGGAACCTTAAAGGCATGATCCTATGTGTATCTGCAGAAAAAAGTCTACATCTCCTGGCATTTCCCAGCCAGCAGTGTTAGGAGATGTGTGATTTTTTTCTCTCTTTAAACATGCAGAGAATTTGCACCCTTAAAAGTTTGAAGAAAGGATTTGTATCTGAATTGGCTATCATTTACACATACAGTTGGTAGCTATGACAAAACCTCTTATTTGTTTAGCATGGGGGAAAGTGTGCCTTGGTAGAAACTAAGAAATAACACACACTTCCTCAGCAAAAGTTTCCTACCACAAAGTAACCAAAGCATGAATCTCCAAACTGGTGAAAAGGTAGTTGTTTGCCCAGCCAGTGGTTTGTCTGGTGAGAGCCTATATTAGAGCCACTTTTGTGAAAGGCTATCTGAAATAGGTGAAGTCTGCAATGGAGTTAAACAAGTTTAATTTCTGTGAACCTGACCTGTGGATTCCTCAGTGGACTGGCTTTTTCAGAATCATGTGGAGCCTAGGGACTTGAAGACTGGTTTTCACTTTGGTCAGATTTATGCTAATGTGCCCTTACATAAATGTGCATTCACTAATGTAAATTAAAACTGATTCACTTTAGATGTATGTGACAGTAAAATGAAATTAGCATGAGTAGCGTTAGCATGACTAGAATGAAATTCTGACTTTAACAATCCAGTTCTGTCAATGAGCAAGTGATGAATGAAAGACACATGACAATTTGCAAATTAGAGACAGAACAACTTTAACACAATCCATAAACCTCTAATCTGAAAGTCTATCATTTGTCAAAATTCACAGGCTTCCTGTGGCTTCGGCAACTGCCAGGTTCCATATTCTTCATGTGTACTATCAAATATAGTGCTGTGTGGGACATGTGGATTGGCTGAGTGTCAAATATTATGGATGGGTGAATTCAAAATACATAATATACTTTAATAATAGACATGGCACCAGCTCCCGAGCTTCTTAAACTATTACATCAGCATCAGAAGTAAACATCAGAACAAATGAAAGGGTGGCTAATGTGACATAGAAAAGAAGTACAGCCACCTTCACAAACTGGAAGAATGTTGAAAGTGGAATATATCTGCACAAGAAGTTAAGTGTGAAGAGAGAGGGGCAAGCAGTAACAGTGAAAGTGAACCCTTTTGAGCAGAATACCCCACAAAGCCTTTGGATCTTTTTGTGTACAGCCTGAGGTTTATCATATTATTCTTTCCTTGGAGGAGAAAATCTGTACTTGCAGCAGACCATAGAAGAGACCCAGTTTGGGAATATTTTAATGAAGATTCTCTACCTATGGTAAAGGCAGGCATGTGCAAATTATGTAGAAAACCATACTGGCTATGATTTAAATCATGATTTAAATGAAATCCACCCTAATACGTTGTATGGATTACATAAGACCAGTTTACTTTCTTTGGCAATTAGTTTGATGTCAGACTATTTACAGCAGGACTAATATAGCAGACATCACTGCTGCAATTGTAGTTCAAGGCAAGCCTTTTGAAAAGAAGATACATAATAACCAAAATGTTATGGCAATGCATATACAAACTAACAGAGTGGAATTGACTTTGTGTCTTGCTTGACAGATCATCGGATTTCTACTGATTTTTTTAAGGATGTTCATATTTCTGAGCTTTCTTCCTAACATGCCAAGTCCCACCTTAGGAAATCTTGGTGAATAATGTTTCTAGCCTATATTTTGTCCTGTGACAGAACAGAAGAAACCTTCTATTAACTGATACTATTTATGTATATTTTTTCTTCCTCTCTATTTCAAAGGAATAACAATCCATTTAAGAATAGAGGCAAATATAAAACCAGACATATAGGTTTAAATCCAGCGATCATCTCAGGCAGTAGCAACAGCTGATGGTGCTGACCATATGCCCACGGCTGTGTGTACAGTTCTAATTCAGCACAGGATGTAGCAGGCCCGGGTGCAAGGACTAGATGCAATGACCCCTGAGACATGGGTTGCTATCCCACTGGGCATGTGATCCGGAATGGAATCTATGTTCAGGAAACATCCTACAGTTCAGAGTTACAGCATCCTCCCTTTCCGACTAAACAAGTAAATTCATGGATGCATAAGATATAAATATCAAAATAAATACAAACAATACAATCCTGATTTAATTAGCCTTCAGAGAAAAAGGAGTTCTGTAACTGTGAAGCAGCTACCAAAACTACCATACCATTTGCTCTGATTATTTGACGTTGACATGTGGCTGGCAGGTGCCCGTCTTCAGGATTGCCATGAGATAAAAAGAAGAAGACAGTCTCTAAGAAATGTGCAGTTCCAAGTGCCTTTTCTGGAGTCCAAAGATTTCAGTTTCAGTAGTTTCAATGAAATCTTGGTTTCATTTCATTTGCTGATTATTCACTTATCTTGTGAATGTAAAGCTATCTCAAATATAATTACCAGGGAGGGGAAAAGCTGAAAACATGCTGATCTGGTATTCTTTTCCATGTCAAACTTAAGTTTCATGTCCAACATAAGTTAGCAATTAGATGCTTTGCTTGCTTTCTTGATTTGATGTGGTGGAGTAAACTCTGAATCTTTAGATAGCTTTTGTGGCCCATAAATTCTTCCTCATATACAGTGCTTTGTTTCATATGATGGACCACTTGCCTCCCATATCACATGGGGGCGAGTCCTGATGTTGATGAATGGGAGGGTTGTTCCTACTCTCCCACCCTGTGAAGAAGAACACTGCCCTGGGTAATGTACTAGCTTAGGCTTAGCCCCATTAAATGCTATGGCTGAGAAGCAAGTGCACTGGAATTAATTGGCTTATGGATTATTCTTTTTGAAGCACTTATATTTTGATGAAGCCTTTGAATCAGGCTATGCTTTTTGCGTGGTTGAAGTCTCTTATCAGAATTGTAATTTAAGCTCTTCAAGCACAATTGAATGTTCGCTTCCTGTAACAGGGTATTTTTAGAGTGTATAATAAAGCTTTGAATGTCATAGACAATGTTTTTATTTTCATCTCAGATCTTCAGCACTGGTTTTGAGAATTCTGAACATTAATATAATATAGGGGAGGGCTTGGTCTTGCAAAATACTGGCCCAGTTCACATATCATAATAACCTAGGGGAATCCTAGCTTATCATGATCATACAAATGTGCTGGTGCACACTGCTTGATTGTCCCTGTTGGTGGGAATGGCTCAACATGGAAGGGACTGTAGCTCCATAGTAGAACACATGCTTTTCTTGCAGAAAATTCAGGTTTGATCTCCAGCATCTGCCGGTAGGATTGGAAAAACTCCTGCCTGAAGTTTTGGAGAACTGTTTCCAGTCTGACCCATTGCTATGGTCTTCATGTAATGACAACTCAGAATGTGGGTAGCATATGATTGTTGTTGCATTGTGAGTTGTTGTTACATGTGAAACCAGCACTAGAGTTTAAATATGGGTTGTTAATATGAACAACCCAGGAAGACAATTTGTAGTTTGTTGCTGGGTTGTGATCTCTGGGTTGTTTGTGGTTAATTAGCCTACATTAGACCATAGTGCAGGGCTTGCACACAATAACCATCCACAATTCAATGGCAACCTATCTTCAACCCATACCCAACCCAACTCTGTATTGTTGTGCAAACCAGGTCAGTATTAGGCAGTTTCCACATTTCCCAACAGACCATGAACTTTACATCTGTGACTTGTTTATTCTGATGTTCCAACCAGGAATTCTTGTTTGTTTCTTTCCTAAAACAAGCCTGAGGCATAAGCCATCATTTCTTGTGGAGAGTTCATGGCTTGTTCAGCTGCTTCTACTGGCAGGAGGAGCCAGGTGGGAGCAACGGGACAGTGTGTGTGAGCACACTAATCATTCTCAGTAAGCCACATTTCCCCAGAATCCTGGTTTGTGACATGAAAATTGGCTAGTGTTTACCTGTAAGTTGACCAATATGTTTTTGTCAAGGATGTGAACTGGCATTGCAGCAAGATATTTAGGATCACAAATATCAGGCCACCATTCTAAAGAGGTCTGTCTCTAATTCACTACGCACTTACAATCACTGGGCAAATATTTTAACTCTCTCATCACTAATTCATCCTTTAAGGTTCATGCAACATTTAAATGAGACACATTAAAAATCTGATTTATATCTTATAAGTGACATTGAGTGACCACATTGCTGACAAACTTTCTGGACGAAATACTATAGAATTTGTTATAAGCCCCCCTTGCCTGTTGAAGGCTTCCCATGTAGAACTGGTTCCCATATAGTAGAGAGGTGGTTCTTTTGTAAGATGAAGAGCCTAGTAGACCCTAGAAAAAACCTAGAAAAACAAAAGGCTTCCTAAAAAGACAGATGGGGAGGTGGTAACTCTGTTACTCCTGATCAATGATAATCAATGAAATGGCTAGAAAAAATTTCCTTCTGATTGTATGCTTGTTTCTCAACTGTCCTTCAGGTGAGGTGGAATGGTTTTCAGTCAAGAAGGACTATAGGGTTCTAAGTGTAGAACACACACCTACCATGCAAGAGGTCCAGGCTGAGTCCCCATGATCTCCAGTTGAAAAGACTGGGGAGCAGATGTCATGAATATTGTCTGAGACACTGGAGAACATGCCAGTCAGAGTAGACTACACTGGGCTAGCTGAACAAAGAGACTTGCTTGGTAACAGACAGCTTCTGATGTTCCTAAGGCCAGAGACACAAGGAACATACTAAATAGCTCCTTCAGCCCTACCACTGATTTTCTGGGCTGAATGCCATGTGTCACCATCAGCTCCCTCCCGCCTTACACTGATATTTTTTACACAGACCCATGGTTGATTCTCAGACTATTTCTAGAAAAGAAGAAGAAAGAAAGAATGAGCAACAGAATTAGATTGGAAGCTGAAATAACCCAGGAGTACCTGTCACTTCTAGAGTACAGAAGGGCTAAAATGGACTTTACATTTAATCATACTCTTGCGGCAGAGGTTTTTTTGAAGTCTAGAGTAGGTGCAAGGCCCTTCATCCAGATCGGCTTCATAGTGTGAATGGTAGAGGGTCTTAGAAGATCTGGATCAAGACCCCAGCACCTACTCTGGAGTAGAAATGAAGGATGGATGGATGGATGGATGGATTTAAAGTACTGTTTATCTGGGCCCTAGGAAATGACAGATGTTACATGATTGCGTAGCTAGCATGATAATGCATGCTTTTTCTCTAACCCATGATTTTTGTTATATGTCTCAAGCCACTAAATGAAGTAGAGCATTGTTGTAGGTTCTGGTCAAGTAACAGGGAAAAGACAGGAATTTCTTGATGATAAATGGATCAAGTGCTGTTCCACCCTGGGCCAGATTTAGATCAGAGATTTCTGTTGCCAATCCCCAGCTTAGATGAGTCACAATAGCCAGAATAAAGAAAACCATGAATGTGTATATAATAAAAATAATAGAAAACATTTTATTAATTATTCTGTAGATCTTAGACTTTGGTTTAGCCCGGCAAACTGATGACGAAATGACAGGTTATGTAGCAACTCGGTGGTACAGAGCTCCGGAAATCATGTTAAACTGGATGCATTATAATCAAACAGGTAAGATCAAAGACAGTTCCTTGCTCCTGTTGTAGTTCTATGAAAAAAATATTTCCATAAGGGCTTGGGAGGGAAGATTTATGTAATATCAAGAAGAACCCCTGAAATTCCTGGCTTGTCTGTGTTTTGGCAGTGGACATTTGGTCGGTTGGATGCATCATGGCAGAGCTCCTAAAAGGGAAGGCCCTTTTCCCTGGAAACGACTGTATCCTTCCTCCTATTATGAAGCAACACAAGTGCCAATATACTGCAGCTCTTGCTCTGTTCTCTTCCCCAAAAGGCTTTTAAGGGAGTGTTAGTCATTTAACAAAATTGGTTCAGCAAGCATGTTGCTCATTGTTAATCGTGACTGTTTTTCACAGCTGGGCATGAAAACAGCCATCAAGAGTAACAACACTATGTCCTTAAGCCACAGTAGGCTGCCTAAAATCTTGGTTTCTGTATGCTTCATTTAAATAATGACCCAGATACAAACACAGCTTGAAATAGATGAAAAAGAGTTGCTGGGAAATATCTAACCTTCCTGGTAAACACAGGATCCGTTTCTGTTTTGGTGGTACCCAGAGCTACATGGAAATAAGAGGCGTATTTGCATGACTCAACAAACCATGGTCTTTTCTTAGGCATGATGGCCCACTGTATTGTCCAAACCCTGTTGTGGTATTTCTTCATAGTGCCTTTAAACTTTGGAAACCATGATTTTAAAAAACCAGTCTGTTCTCAGCTCTCCATGATTCACCATGGTTTCTCTGATCGTCCAAAACTGGCACCATGTTTTTCATGTGTCGGGTGTACAGCTACCACAGAGCCCCCTGGAGCTGCTGTGGGTGTCCAGCATGGGATTGAATTTCAGGTATGGTGGCTAACAGGTCACATGCCAACAGTGGGAGAAGTGAATGAGGGTGGAAACCACACTAGTATAGAAACCACTTGCTCATCTGTCAGACACATCAAAAGCACATTTTTACAGCAGAATCAAAATGGGAGGGTCATGCTGAGAACCAGTATAGTGTCATGGTTAAGACTGCAGGGCTGGGACACAGGAGATCAGAGTTTTAGTCTCCACTCAGCCATGAGGCTCACGGGGTGACTTTAGACCAGTCACCGTTTCTCAGCCTACTCTACCTGACAGGGTTGTTGTTGTGATGACAGAATGGAGAGGAAGAGACACTTGTAAGCTGCCTTGGCTTCCTTGCTAGAAGAACAAAGGCAGGGTACTAATGCACTGTAATGATGACGAACATAGAAACAGTTATGACTAGGGAATGATGAAAGCACAATAAATAGCTAATGTGGTTGTTGTCCTGTAATCCCATGGCTCAGTTTTCCCATCTCTGGTTACGGAATTTGTCTCAGTGAGATTTTACATAAACATAAGCCAAACCTCCCACCCAGGGTTACATTAGCAGTTCTCTCCCAGTGATGTTCATGTCTGCAATGCCTCCATCTTCATGAGATGGCAGAGAAGAGGAAGCAATAGCTCCACATGGTTCTGCCATTTAAGCAAGTGATGCATCTGCCATCCTCTTTTTCCTGTAGTTTTCTTAAATCCTTGCAGATATTGATCAACTAAAACGAATAATGGAAGTGGTTGGTACACCCAGTTCTGAACTTCTCAAGAAAATCTCATCAGAGCATGTAAGTGTGATGTGTTTCAACAGAGTGGCCATTAACGCATCATTAGAATCTATTAGCTGGCACATACTGGTTTCCTAAATTGCACAGAAACAGCAGCTTTGTAATGTAGAGGATAGCTGAACGGGAGTGCTTCATTTTAGAACTGTTGAAAGGTGTCAGTTTTCACTGATAAAATCCCATTGTGGGCTGGTGAAGCCCAGAAGACACAGCAGAAGAATTCAGGTTGTCATTCACATGTCTAAGCAGCCTGTCAATGAAAGGAAATGGAAAGCACTTTCGGGGGGGGGGGTCCCATCCTTTGTGTAGGAGGAGCCCTTGTATGAGCATCTTCAAACATGGGTCAAGGAAGCTGTCTGCCCAGTCAGTGCTCAAAGGTGCCGGTGTACCTGTGTTTTATTTTGTTCATCCTTTTACATACTGATATTTTGTTCATCCTTTTACATACTACAGAGGAGTTCCCAGGTTAGTGATGAACCCAGCAAAGACCTATGTGGCAACTTTAAGGATAAGAATTGTATTGTCACTGCTTTTTTTTTCTTTTTTTTTTTTTGTGGGGGGGTAAATTTGAAGTATAGTGTTATAATCAGAGATATAAGGGAAGAACTGGCATATGGGTTTGTTGCAGAGTCTAGATCCTTTTTTCCAATCGTTAGGTGGTCAATATTTGATAATGAATCTTTTCATGAGAACAGACCTACTGAACAAAAACTTTGACAAATTGATAGAGTAGTCCAATTGTAGTAGTTTATGCTGGAACCATAGAAAACTGTGTATTAGAGGTACACTTCATCATAGTTACCCATTGAAATCTATGGGACTTGTTCTCTTGAATTTAATGGGTCTCCTCTAAGTAAGGCCCAGTCTGGATCCAACCCAGTAAGTCAAAGGCAGACATCTACTGGCCTTCCAGGTGTTCTGACATTCAACTCTTATTATTCTTCACCACTGCCTAGGGCTGATGGAAGTTGTAGGCTAAAACATCTGGTATGCCACAAGTTGCCCATACTTGCAACTAGTACCGCTCTCTGTCTTGCACTGTTTTATGTGTCTGCACTTGCACCCACAGCAATGGTAAATAAACAAGTGTGCATGTGTTTATATGTATGAATGAACGATATCATAAGCTCCCAGCACACCTGAATTTCTCCCCCCCTCCCACACACACACATCTGACAATCATTAAATAATACATACAAGTGATCCTTGTACCTTGTAGATGCCTATTCTGGCTTGTGTAACACCGTGAAATTGGAGATGTGGATCCTTAAAATATTCATCAGAATTACAAGAGAATGCACGAAAGCAGTTAAAGTCAAACATGACTTTCTATTGAGTGGAATGCTTACCCGTATCCTCCTTAAAATTGCACCCTGTTTCGCAAATTATGCACTTAAGTACCATTAAACATATTGTGTAGGTTAAAAGGGTAACTGAAAGATTAATAGCAGTGAGATTAAAGAGGTAATTGAGAGATTAATTCTCTTCCCATTTGCGAACAAATAATGATTACATGTAATAAAAAGTATGGCTATTAAATAGGCTGCTGTGATAGTTGCTATTACCAAATATATAAAAGGTTGATATAGAAACAGGTTTTTATAATGCAAGTATTTTGGAAACTGCCCAAGGAAATAATACTAGGGAGATTAATAACTGCTGGTAGAATTTACATACATGTTTTATCTCAGTTACACTACAGTACATTAATCCAAGGGAGCACGACCCTTCTTTCAGATGCAGCTGCACAATAACGAACTAAAGAAAATTGTTTTTGGGGGTAGGGAGGAAACATCCACATGATCATGTTGTGTAGCACAGGACCAAAACCAAACTGAGCACTGTACTTCATAACTTGGATATCATATTTTGCTTTAGTAGAGAAACTCAGGAAAAGAAAATGCTTTTTCAGTGGTCATAATCTAGGACAACTGGTCCATCACATATTCTACCATAACTGTACCCTTTATGTGTGGCAAAATCCTCTTTATTGCTTGGTAGGGCCATATAGATGACCTGATGTTGTTGTTGCATAGACTTCTACCTACCCTCCCAAGGTGGCTTACATATTCAGCCAAATTACGGATGCAATCTTCTGGTCTCCCAACATTGTCTAGAGATTGAAGGATCTCTAGAGCAGGGGTCTCAAACTCGCGGCCCGCAGGCCAATTGCCGGGACAGGCGGGGCACGGGGGAGGGACCCTGCGGCCTTCAAAGCGCCGGCGGCATGTGGGCCGGCCTCTGGGAGCAACGCGGGATGAGCAGCCCACCACCACCGCGGTGGTGGAATACTTGATGCGGCCCAGCCTCCCCCAGACTCTACTTCCAGTGGCCCCCAGGTAAGTTGAGTTTGAGACCCCTGCTCTAGACATCCTCTCCCCTGTAGCTGCCCCCTCCCAAGATCACAAGTGCTCTTTCTCTTGGCTTGTAGTTATCTCCCTCTCTAGTAACACAGAAGACAAATAATCATGGCTGTGTGTTCAGTATAGTTATTATTTATATCCTACCTTTCTTCCATTGTGTAAATCAAGGTGGCTATATGTAGTTCCTGGATATTCTCCCTTTCACTGACGAGGCCCAGAGCTGCTTAGCTTCAGCACAGTGGCTGCCCAGCATGTCTTCAGTCCGTACCCAGGGACCATACCCTTTCCTGTACAGAGGCAAGAAGGGAATTTTCAGTCATTCCAAAAGCATCAGTAATGAAACTCTGAACAAAATGAATAACATTTTGGTGGACTTCCATTGTTGAACAGCCAACTGAATGCAAATTTGCTATGAAATCTGGAGAATCAGAAGGATGACGCCTCCCATTCTCCCCAATAGATGGAAATATATGTTCTTTGGGTATCATGATACCTACCTAAAGCAATCTCCCGCCAAAAATGCAAACATTTTTAGGCAATATCTAATGTTGCACAAGCAGACTTTTGCTCATGCAGTAGGAGTTTCCTTTCACCTACTAGCAGCCCTCACCCATCTCCCCCGATTAGCTTTGGAGGTCCCTAAACACTCTAAGGCAGATTTTCAGAGGCGACATTGGTTTGCCTAGGCAGGGCAAACTGTTCCACTGTCATATATTGTTCTATTGGCATTGGATTCCCTTGTTAGAACCTTGATTTTGTTGATACCTGTTACATCAACAGGGAGTTGACAAACTTACATGAATGTCTGGGGTATGAGCAAAGGACTTCATCCCATTCAAAGAAACTGATCACAGAAACTGATAGACATTATTAGAGATTTTCAAAAACATTCAGCTATCTAAAACAACTATTCTGTTCTCAGAATCAAAATTATTTAATGCTCTAGGTTTCAAAGAGTGGTTACCTGTGGAGTTTACTGCAGCTTCAAGGAAAGACTGGCAAGTAAACAAGATACAGTCAAACTCCTGTTGAATCTTAATCAGAAGTCCCATTGAGGCAAACTGAATGTTCAAATGCGTATAATAGGCTTGTCAGGATTCCAGTGGTTTTTCTTTTCTTTTTTTCTTTTTTAATGAAAGGCATTGTCAGAAAGCTGCAATATTGAGCAACGGAGTGCCGAAGTGGGGCAGAGAAAGGGTGGCGTTTATTATTTCAAAGATAAAAGCAGATTTGAACTGCTTTATGGATGGCTTTTTGATATGAAAAGTAGGGATATGGGTTGGAAAACATGGAACAGAAAATAATTGAGATAGTGAAAAATGCCATTTGGGTCTTAATTTAAACATGGGAGAGAATGATGTTCTTGCCTTGTTATTGCTATAAGGGTATGCCTTAGTTTTTATAAGGATATTCCCATTAAGGAATATTGACAATGTACAATTCCTACAGATGTCACTTTGGAGAATATAGGGGTTCTGTTTTATCTCTGCAGGACTGTGGAGTTTCTGCAGTCATGTGTTTAATAATGGAGCTTTTATGGGGAAGTTGTGCCTAATTTAAACCTCTATTTAGCAAAGATGAGCTGGGTAAAGAAAACTAAAGAAATACTTTCATCAGCCTGTTTGTAGTTCTGACACTTTCCTCCCTCCAGAATATCTGTAAACCCTGCAAATCTACAGGAACAGCTGATTGTAATAAAATGCAATTATTTTTAAGTCTGGGTACCCTAACAGTTATGTGTGCAACTTTTCTAAGACTGAACATTTGTTTTTAACCACAAACACAAGTGCATACATATACACCTTCTTTGCAGGCCAGAAAATACATAGAATCGTTACCACAGATGCCACAACAGGATCTGAAAGCAGTATTTCGTGGAGCCAACCCACTAGGTGAGAACTTCTGAGCATTCGGTATTTAGTACGGCTGTTTCACAGAGACATGGGCAAATGACACGGAAAAAGCAATGTGACGGGAGTGTCCAAATATTGCTAGTTGCTCAGAAATCTGAAGATGGAACAGGAACTATGTGGAGGATTCAAAGCCACCTCTTTGCTGCTGTTTCAGAAACTGTAAAGTAGCTTATAGGGGACACCCATGTGATTTTCTGAATTGATCTTTTTGGTGGTTATGAGAGATAATATGTGATCAGCCTTGCTTATTTGTTGAATACTGGAAGGGGCTGAAGAATCATCCTTTCTTTGCCTCATCCTCTTATTTGGCAATGGTCTTGCAAAGTGAAGAGAGATATTTGGCTTCTGCTAGAGTATGTCCTGTCACATTTCCCATGCCCAAATTTTGTTATATGACACAGGGGAAAGGGCTTGCACAGCGTATATTTGCCTTTCACTCTCTTGCCTATGTAAGACTTCCCAATATATGCAAATGTGTGATAACTGTGCAACAGTTAAATCATGAGGGTTGAACCTTGGGGTCCGGGACCAAACATCTGTGGTTCCCTAGATGGCCACCACCCTTCCTCCAACCACTTGTTTGATGGTTTCCAGATTTTTGAACAATATTTCTCTCTATTCTAAAAGGTTGAGATCCCTTTCCTAGGGCTTAGTCATTGGCATGAAAGAACCAAGATACAATATGTCGGTATTTTTTGTATTTTGATCCTACTGAAGATGGGAATACACCTCCCCACCAAAATATTTTGGAGCTTCTCCAAAATATAATTAAATCATTGAGCTGCAACAGGTTCAGTATCCCTCACTTAAATTTAGCCTTGTTTGAGGATCAGGTTGTCTGTTGCACACTTAAGCTGCAATTAAATGATAATCTGACTTTCACCTTTCAATTAAAAATTACCCAAAATCACTCATGGACCTTTTAATTCAAAGTGTACATCTCCCTTAGCATAAAGCTACCTGGATCAAGGTGATCCACCCACTTGTGACATCAGAAGGACTAAGCCAATGGCAGCCATATCTGATACTGCAACAAATTTGCACTTGTCTTCACATAATTCTCTGATAATGCAAATCACTAAGTAAATCATTAGCTGGGTTCCTGCCTGTACCTTAAGAGGCTTTGTACAAGAAATTGTGTATGTAGAAACTAGTTTCAGAGTACAAAATACCTGATTACATATATTTAATACAAAATTGTACTTATCAGATGTGTCAATTATCCTGTTTTCCTTCTGTGAATTAATAGTTCTATATTTTTGTATACTGAAAAGCAAATGATAAATTGACAGCCTGAGATTAGATTGGGGAAGGCATGTAAAATTTTCTTTCAAAGTTCAATATATCTCTAGGCTTTCTTGTTAAGATAAAATGGTTGAGTCGCTTTGTTTTATTTTTACAATTGTAGCTGTGGATCTTCTTGAGAAAATGTTAATTCTGGACAGTGATAAAAGAATAACTGCTTCAGAAGCACTTGCACATCCTTACTTTGTACAATACCATGATCCTGATGATGAACCAGAAGCAGAACTGTATGACGAATCAATAGAGAATAAAGAACGCGTTATAGATGAATGGAAAGGTAAGGAATTGTTTTATTCTGTGATTGAACAATAAAGCGATCAAGAGTAACAGGCACTTAAAACACAACTTTTAATCAATAACTGCATGGTTGGGATTCTTTCCTATGCCAGAAAGGTCAATGATGATAAACCTCTGTAAAGAAAACAGACTGAAGATCATATCTGGTGTGTGTAGAACTGCAGAAGTAGAATAATTGGCAGGACACACCTAACTCATTTTAGTAGCTCATATAGGCTATTGGAATGCTATTGACAGTAGCATTTTAAAGTTTTTATGAAACATACTTAAATGTTTTATTCCAGTGGGACTCTGAAAGGTAAGTAGAAGAACTGGAATTACCCTCTTCACAAGTTGCTGGATTGGAATCTGAATTTACTTTCTGAAATTGGTTTTAAACCTTATTTTCATGGTTTTTGTAGGCATGCCATGATTTACTGTATTTTGGTTTTCATTGTAAACCTTTCTAGGCAGTACAGTAGTAGTAGGAAGATAAATAATAATTGGGTTTGTCCAGATTTAGGCATTTGGAACTAGGCAAGCAGAAAAAGAGTATCTCACTTTCTCCCCCTACAGCAACCCGTCTAGCCAAGAGACCCTGCCAAATGGGGTGGGGGGAGAGGGGATCCCTAAAATTCAGGCAAGGGCCTCTTCTGTAAGCTAAGCTCTTCTGTCTGTGCAAAGCAGATCTTGGATCCAGCCCATCATGCCACGCAAACAGATCCTGGATCCAATGTCCTCCACTGTTTCTACAGCTGCAGCTGTGTCTTTCTTGCCTGCATGCATATCACCGATCCTCAATGCCTGCATTTTTAGCAGTCTAAGATCTGCCATGCCTGCTGTTGGTTGTGTTGTTAGGAAGAAAAGCTTCGCATTTTACTCATTTTTCCAACTGGCTTATTTGGAGTGATTGCATAGGAAAACTTTAAACTGAAATTACAACAGAAGTTACCATTCTTAATGTCTTGTCAGAGTAGATACATTTGTATGCCTTGTGCTTGGCTTTAAATTACTGGGGGTAACACAAACAAAACAATACACAAATCTCATTGTGCAGAATTGCAAGCACAGTGCAATCTACATTTGCTTTTGAGATCAGGTTCAGATGAACAGATAATGGGGGTCTTGGGATTGACCTAATATGCTGCAAGCAGGTGCTACCCCTTAACTTGATATTTCAGTATCTGGCATGTTGAATATATCAACATTTGTTTAATAGTTGCTGAAGTATGTTAAATATTTGCTGCACACCAAGTCAACTGCAAGACCCCATTAAATTTTCATTCAAACCCTATTTCAAGAGCATGCGAGTTGATCATGGAAGCTGTACTTGCAGTTCTGGCTTCCAGTGTCATTTTATCTGGCCTCAGAAAATGTCTTCCAGGAACACTTTCTCCCTTTAGAAGTAGCAGAAAATATACCAGGGCTGTGTATTTCAAGGTTTAATGTATGTGGGCATGTGTGTGCCCACATATGCACATACAGTCTCCAAGCAGTCACAGAATTAATATTTCTGTATTCAGTGAAATATATTTGCTTTCATTCCATATAGTGAATAATTCAGTGCCTAGGAACTCTTACATAAGAGTGTTCTTTAAAGTTTTGTTGAAATGGCAGTTCTTTATCAGCTTCATGGAGTCTGCTCAATGTTCTAAAATGCAGAAAGAAAATCAGGGTTTGTGACTATTTTTAAAGAAACCTCTGCTTCCATTTTTAGGACAAAAGAACCGCACAAGAAAATGCCTGGTTTAGCTCAATGTCTGTCAGGGCCTTGAGGGATTTTTTAGCTTCAATATAAAGAAGAAAAAGCCATTCCTGTAGCATTTGCAAGCATTTGCTAGAAACCAGCTTATGCACATAAAACAGGGCAGATCCCACATTTCCAGGCTCTCTTTCGGGGGCTGCTTCAGACATTTGCATCATTGACGGCACTAGGGCACCTTTGCCTAATGAAACCAAGTGTGTTTTAATTGATCTGCAGCTGGAAAGAAACCACCCCAGGGCCCTATTTAAACCATGCTGGAAAGGACATAAGCAGAGTTAAGGTTATGCTTTTTCTGAATGTGTAAAAGAATACATTCAACTTTCTTGCATCCACGGTAGGGTATGCTCACCTTTTGTGCTTGCCTGTACACGGAAGTACTTTCTGTGAAGAGAGCCATTAATTCTACAGTGCCCCTAAGTTTGTTTTGAAATGCCTCCCCAGTAGAATTGGAAGTTTCATCTCGGATGTCTCCATACAAGGCATGCTTAGTGTATGATCCTAATGGAAGATTGCAGAGTCTTCTTTTTTATTTTGTTGTCCTCCAGGACCTCTCCAAAATTTTCCAGTCATTTTCACAGCTTTATTAGTACAAGGACAGTCAGACATCAAGTCAGTGGTGTATCATGATTTGTGATGATTAGCGCATGCTGTAAAGGGTTCCCTTTAGGTTTGGGCACATGCTGCTGTGTAGATGGAAACATGATTCCCTCTTCCCTCCTACCAGTGGTAGCCCCTCCAAAATGCTATGCAGAAGGCCAAGAGACTCTGCTGAACGGCGTTGGTCCCATGAGAGCCAGTGTGGTGTTGTGGTTGAGAGCATAGGTCTCAAACTGAATTCTCAGCCCTGGACCCAGCTGGGTAACTTTGGGCCAGTCACGGACTCTCAGCCTAACCTACCTCACAGAGTTGTTGTGGGCGTAAGATTGAGAACAGGAGGAAGAGAATGATGTAAGCCACTTTTGGTTCTTAAAAAGAAAAGGACAGGATACAGATATAATGAATGAATGAATGAATGAATGAATGAGCCACATCACTTTCAGAAGGGTCCCCCAACTCTCTGTGTAAGATTTACAAGGGACTGAAAGAGCTTGTAAAGGGAACAAGGTCCACTTCCACAACCCCAGTAGCCTGCACCTAAATCTGGATCCAGCCCCTAGTTACTGGCACAGAAATCTGAGGATCAGGAGTTTGCAAATTAAACAAATAAAATTAGAGCACAATTTATACATCCCCTATGTACAAAACATCAATTTTGAAAATGTTTGTATCTTTTGTTTGTGGCTTCAAAATTTGATACAAATTTAAACTGTTTGTATTTCCACACTGTTACCCACACTGTTTTCTCTTTCCCTCTTTTTTAAAAGAACTTACATACGAAGAAGTGATCAGCTTTAAACCACCTGATTTAAAGATGGATAGTCTTGAAATTGAACAATAAATCCAGACACCTTATCTTTTTGCTATGCTGTACTATGAAGATTATTAAACACATTGCGCTGCAATTTAATTTCACATACCACAAGCATAGATTTTACTATCCAAAGATCTTGGGAAAGCTATGGAAAAGCAGATTAAAAATACAGAAGAGAATTGTATCTGGGGTGCATTCTGCCTTGTACTACGAATGTAATCATTACAGAACATTAAGAACTGCTTCATTCTGACAAATGATGCACTGAAATTTTCCTTTTTTAACCGTGTCTCCTCTGCATGTCTCATTTTATCAGTTGCGATGCCAAAAAGGGTGATTTTTTATCATTTTGAAGTTGTACAGTTAAAGCATGAATGTATGTTCAAGCAACAATAGAAGTCCATACAAGCAATGTATTGTTTTTAAGGATTACCTTAAATCTATGTTTTGTTTTATTTTTTCTTCTCTTCATTTATAGCTAGTGCCTTTAGGAAGAGGAGTCACTGTAGTGTGTTAGGCGTAATATATACTTGTAGCTGTTTCATGAACATGAGTGATTGAGGAAAAGGTGGAAGTCCGTCAAATCATCACTTTCTGATACCATTAAAATCTGTCATCATTTTTCCTATAGCTGTAGAAAATTTCAGAGCACAGTTTGATTAGTGATTTAGCCCTAAAATGGTCCACAGTGTCAGGTTCTAATGAGTGGAGTTTTATCTCCCCGCTAGAGCACTTTCTCTGTGATTTTGGAGTGCCTGTCTTTCCCCTCCCCTAAGAATAAACAATTTTAAAAACAAAGCATTTTTCCTGTGGTTTTTGAGAGCTGCGATCAATTTTAATTTAGGCGAGTACTTATGAATGTAGTACATGAGTTGAAACTGGAGGTTCTTTGATGAGATCGTCTAACTTGGAATATGTTTGTTTGTTTATTAGAACATTTCTATGCCGCCCCTTGCCGAAGCCTCGGGGCGGCTTGCAACACAATAAAATACAATAAAATACAAAAATAACAATATAAAATTAAAATTAACAATATAAAATAAATAAAAAATATAAAAGAAGTCGCCCTGGCCAGATAAATAAGCAAATATTGTTAACAATTAAAATGACGTTTAAATAAAAAGGTCTTCACCTGGCGCCGAAAAACAACTAACGACGGTGCCAGGCGGACCTTTCTGGGGAGCGCATTCCATAGATTGGGCGCCACCGCAGAGAAAGCCCTCCTCCGAGTACCTACCCTCCTAATTTCTTTCATGGAGGGTTCCTGGAGAAGAGCCTCTCCCGCAGATCTCAAGGGGCGGTCGGGCATATATGGATGTAAGCGCTCCTTCAGGTAACCAGGACCCAAGCCGTTTAGGGTTTTATAGGTCATAACCAACACCTTGAATTGGGCCCGGACTTCAATGGGAAGCCAGTGAAGCTGACGGAGGACTGGAGTCATGTGAACATAACGCCCCGTCCCCGTCAGCAACCTGGCAGCTCTATTTTGAACCAATTGAAGTATCCAGACCGTCTTCAAGGGAAGCCCCATGTAAAGCGTGTTACAGAAGTCAAGGCGGGAAGTCACCAGCGCGTGTGTCACCGTCGCCAGGTAGTCGTACTCCAGGTAGGGGCGCACTTGATTAATCAGCCGAAGCTGAAGGAAAGCGCTCCTCGCCACCGCTGTCACCTGAGCTTCCAATGAAAGCTCCAGGTCGAGGAGTACTCCTAAGCTGCAGACCTTGTCCCTTAGAGGGAGTGCAACCCCATTCAGGACCAGGTCAAATCCACCCTCTCCGAAGCCCGATCCGCCGACCAACAGGACTTCCGTCTTGTCTGGATCGAGCTTCAGTTTATTGGCCCTCATCCAGCCCATTACCTCGGCCAGACACCGGTTCAGCACAGCCACCACCTCACCTGGATTGGTGGAAAACTAGAGGTAGAGCTGGGTATCATCAGCGTACTGATGATTCCGCAGCCCACACCTCCTGATGACCTCTCCCAGCGGTTTCATGTAGATGTTAAACAGCAAAGGGGACAAAATGGACCCCTGCAGTACTCCATGGCATAGCTGCCATGGCGCAGAGCCATAGTCCCCCAGCACTACCTTCTGGAATTGGCCGTTGAGACAGGAGCGGAACCACTGCAAAGCAGTGCCTCCGATCCCCAATCCCGCTAGCCTATCCAGAAGGATACCATGGTCGATGGTATCGAAAGCCGCTGAGAGGTCCAGAAGAACCAAGAGAGACACACTCCCCCTGTCCCTCTCCCTGCACAGGTCATCGTACAGGGCGACCAAGGCAGATTCAGTACCGTACCCGGGTCTGTTGAACATGTTAATTAATAAAGGAGATAGATTTGTTGTTAAGTTGATAAGCTTGTTGGTTTTTTTGTTTTTTGTAAGCCACCAAGAGACTTTTAGTATTGGGACAGCATATAAAAATATTAATTAAGCGCATGACCATGACAAGCAAGGAAGTTGCATTGCCGTGAGAATATATCACCGTGCCTATGCATGGTGCTTATGCAGAAAAAAGTCCTACAATTCCCAGCATTCCTTAGATGTTAACTTGATGCTGGGAGAGCCAGGTAAAGTTGAGTTTTCTTTCTCCTGCTGTTCTGCCTTCACCTGGTATCACTTATTGCAGTAAATATTCAGATGTCAGAGTAACCAGGGAAAAAATGGGTTCTTATCATAAATGAGCAGGCAGGCTGGTGCACTCTTATCCTTGGCTCTTTCTGCCAGCAAAATTAGCTAAATCTTCATCCATGATTGGTTTAGTGTGACATATAAACTGGGAACCGTGGTTTGCTGCTGCTCTCACAAGCCAGAGTGACAAGCCAACGGTACCAGCTTAGTTGCTCAATCATGGAAAGCTGGAATGAAAAAAAAGGCTGACTTCTCCTGGCATGCAAACTGAGCCATTGATTTTTTCCAAGCTTTTTATAAGTTAACTTTTTTGATACTATTTTTCAATGGATTATTTCTTATTTAGAGAACAGAAGCCAGGGAAAACAGTCATGAAGTGAGATTTAACATAAGTAAACCCAAATTCTATAAATCAAGAAATTAGTATGAATCCCCATGTACCCTTCCTTTCCCCCATTATCCCACTTCACAAACTTAAAATAATGAACATTCTTTAGACAGTAATAACATCAACATGATAATGATTAACAATTAGTATGCTAAATAAAAATAAAGGCAACAACAACTAAGGCAACAAACACTGTGTATTCATGATTTTTCATTAAAAATGTATTACTATCCTATAATTTATTCACTTTCCAAACATTTCAAAAGCATACTTTGTATTTCCTGATAACTTACAGCCAATTCTTACTCCTAACCAGTGTTAGGCACGGTAACGGACTGGATGAAAGTCAATCAATTGAGGCTCAGTCCAGACAAGACTTGTTCAGGGTGGTCCGTCTGACAGGTTTAGTAGTATCCAACCTGTTCTAGAGGGGTTTGGGTGTACTCATAGATCTATCATTGGCAGTAGAGGTGCAGGTGGCCTCAATGGGTCAGAGTTCCTTCCATCAGTTTATGGAAGGCCATACCAATGACAACTGTCTAAATGGAGGTAGTTTTGTGGCATTATTCACACTCTACAGTTTACTGGGACTGGTCGATGTGACCATATTATACCTGTCCACCTGTACTGCTTGCCAGTCAATTTCCAGGTCCTTTTTGATGTTCTGGTTTTAGCTTTTAAAGCCCTCTAGCCTGAGACCAGATTACCTGAAGGAAAGTCTCCTCTCCTTTGTTCCAATCTCAACATTTAACCATCTTCTGAAGCCCTTTCCCAGGGTCCCCATCAAATAAGGTCAGAAGAATGCTATGAGAGAACAGCCTTTTCAGTGGTGACACCTTGTTTGTGAAATGCTCCCTGCAGAGAGGCTTGCCTGGCTATTTTATGGTCTTTTTACTGCCAGGTGGAAACCATTTTATTAACGACTTTTTAAAAATGCAGCACTTTTCTGTTGCTGGTTTTAATTTGGGTGTATGTACAAAGTTTTAAACTTTGCTTCTGGTTTTGTCTTGAAATTATTCAGCTGTTAAAAAAATACAAATAATTTTAATTTTTGGATTGTTGTAAAGTCTTGTACACTGGCCAGAGAATTTTGGTTACTGGGTAGTTTTCAAGTTCAGTTGATAGTTACCAGTACGCCAAGAATGAAAAGTTCAAATGGAGAAAGCAGCACCCATTGCTTTGCCACCGGTTAAGGAAATTAATTCAGGGAACGCAGCTTGGAAGGATTTCCATGGAAGATGAGGATTAGTATGATGTTACTATATTTTCAGAACAATCTGGATGATTGATGAGAGTAATATTCTTTTTCCTCTGCTTACAATTTATGATCTAGTGAACATAAAATGATTAAAATATACTAGTTTTAAAGTAAAGTATGAAAAGGTTAATTGAGATTGGGAAGAAAGACAGGAGAATTAAAGGAAACAAGTGTTTACTAGTGCAGCGAAAATTCATTGTCCTACTACCTTAAGCCTAAATCCATCATTTCCGATCCATCAAAAGGGTAGCTGCATCGAAGTCGCACTGAAATTAACACGATTTAAGGTAATTAATGTGATTTCGTGGTTAACTTCTCCTATTGATTTCAATGAATCTTGGGCAGCTAATCTATTTAGGATTAGGACTCACACTTTTGATAAAACTTCTTTCAAAATGCAAATGCTTAGTATTGCAGCTGCAATCAGCTTTTGTCATTGATCGAGACTTCCAAGTTAATATCAGTCTTATACGCACTTGGTGGAGAGTAAATCCATTCAAATAATTACTTATGCACAGATGCTAGCATGAGCAGTCATTGCGTCTCAGTCTTTTGCCTAAGATCAAGTGAAGCAGGTACACTCAGGTTAAAGATTCCAGACTGGGTTTGGGAGCCTTGCTTCTTTAATCACAAATATACATGCTTGGGCCCTTTGGCTCATAATAGGTTTAGCATTTGGTCAGTATTCACATTAAGTAGTAAATCCAGTACTACCCACTTCAGTGTAAAAATAAAGGTTCTCCATACCAAAGTTTCAACTTTTTGGTGTGTGTGTTTTATGCGGGGGGGGGGGGGGAGAGATAAAAGTAGATACAATGTTGTTAGTCATTTGGGCTGGAGACCCCAACCTTTCATTTGGAACCTTTGATCTCTGGGAGGTCATTGTACCCAGCAGCCAAGGATGCTTGATAAAATAAAGGGACAAAGGCGCTGATGATTTTTGCTGCATCTGATCCCTTGGATTAGCCTGCTTTTTGCCCCCATGCTGCCCCCTGCATTTCTTCCTACTGCCCCTCCTTGAAATCAGATGCCTTCCCTTCCCACCCATAAATCCCCTTTTGCAAATATGGATGTGCTTAGGAGACAGAGTTCTGTAAAGACACACTCTTCAGAATATGCAATGTTTTCGTTTTCTTTTGGTCCTGTGGACCTTAGGCATAGAGATCTAGTACCTAGCATTGCTCCTGCATGTAAATTTCTAGGTCAGAAGTGTCCTTGTTCATTAAAAGAATCAGTGAATCAGTAAAGCAATCAGTTCCACAAAGAATCTTGCAAGATACATAGGCAAGACTTTTGATGTCTTGGTCACCAAAAAGCAGGGAAAAGGGGAATTAAGCAGGTGGCAAGATCAAGAGAGAGGGAGAAAAGAGGCTCTTGAACAGTTACATGTGAGTCCTGCAGACAACAGAAGGAGGCTGTCTCAGCAAGGTGCTAAAGCTAAGGAAAGCGTTATGTAGGCTGACAAGACCCATAGTGCAGTCCGTTCCATTCCTCATTGAGAAACTAGATTGTTAAAGGACCCT